CACGCTCCATGGCTGGATTATCGTGAGATCTGTGACTTGCACCGGAAGACCCGCCTCCTGTGCCGTAAAAGGCCAATGGGCGAAGGCGACGGTTGCGACGGTTGGGTTTTGAAGGAGCCAATGAGTACTTGGAGCGGAGAGTTTAAGAAGCGTAGGTAGGCAGTGGTGAAGTCGGTGTGGGATTGGAACCTGCTGGGGGCTGAAGGTGAGAGGCGGTCGGGGGTTCTGGGTCGGGCGGGGCTGCGGCCAGGGTGGCCCTGAGTGAGTGGCCGGCCGTCCCAGATCGAGCACCGTCGCCTTTTTCTCCAGGACTCGGCGGGCACCCTCTCCAAGGACCCCTCCCTCTGCAGACGCTGCCATGGCGCAGTTCGTGTTCGAGAGTGACCTGCACTCGCTGCTGCAGCTGGACGCACCTATCCCCAATGCACCTCCCGCGCGCTGGCAGCGCAAAGCTAAGGAAGCCGCGGGGCCGGCTCCCTCACCCATGCGGGCAGCCAACCGATCCCACAGCGCCGGCAGGACCCCAGGCCGAACTCCCGGTCAGTGGGGTGCGGCGGGACATCGGGGAGGGAGAGAGGACAGCTGAGAGCGGCCTTCATGCCTCTTCCCCCAGGAGCCTGGTCAGACTCTCTGGCTTCCCTCTCCCTGCCCCAGGCAAATCCAGCTCCAAGGCTCAGACCACTCCCAGCAAACCTGGAGGTGACCGCTATATCCCCCATCGCAGTGCTTCCCAGATGGAAGTGGCCAGTTTCCTCCTGAGCAAGGAAAACCAGCCTGAAGATAGTCAGACGCCCACCAAGAAGGTATGTGTCCCAGAGGGGCTTAAGCCACAAGGCCCGCCTGTGTAATCTGAATCATGCCACCCTGCCTCACCCTCGCCCTTTGTGCCAGGAACATCAGAAAGCCTGGGCTTTCAACCTGAACGGTTTTGATGTGGAGGAAGCCAAGATCCTTCGGCTCAGTGGAAAACCACAAAATGCCCCGGAGGGTAAGACCCAAAGTTCTTGGTTCTTGGAGGGAGGTGTCAGCCCATCCCTACAGTTGAGAGGAGATGCCTGTCTGCTCTTCCCACCTAAGAGAGGGAAGGAGAGGTGTTCATCTGACCTTTAGGCTAGGGCCACAGGGAAGAGTCCGTTGTCCCAGTGTGTGGACCCACTCCGTTGCCACAGGTTACCAGAACAGACTGAAAGTGCTTTACAGCCAGAAGGCCACGCCTGGCTCCAGCCGGAAGACCTGCCGTTACATTCCTTCCCTGCCAGACCGGATCCTGGACGCCCCTGAAATCCGGAATGACTACTGTGAGTGCAGCCTCCTCTTTGCCCATCGGATGGAGGAAGAGGGCCTGGGGAGCAGGCGAACAAGCTCATGTTCTTCCCTCTCCCTGCTCTGGCAGACCTGAACCTTGTGGACTGGAGCGCTGGGAATGTACTGGCTGTGGCGTTGGACAACAGCGTGTACTTGTGGAGTGCTAGCTCTGGGGACATCTTGCAGCTGCTGCAAATGGAGCAGCCTGGGGACTATATATCCTCTGTGGCCTGGATCAAAGAGGGCAACTACCTGGCTGTGGGCACCAGCAGTGCGGAGGTGCAGGTGAGACTTGTCCCTGTGCTCCAGTTCTGCGGCGCCCACACCCAGGGGGCTTGTCGGGCGGGAGGGTGTTCGTGGCAAGTCACAGTCTGATCCTAGCGGCCTTCTCTCTAGCTATGGGATGTGCAGCAGCAGAAGCGGCTTCGAAACATGACCAGTCATTCTGCCCGTGTGAGCTCCCTGTGCTGGAATAGCTACATCGTGTCCAGGTTTGTGGTTTTAGCTGGTCTGTGGTTTTTGCCAGTTGTCCCCAGAGGTACACCTCTGAACTGAAGCAACTCCGTGCTGCTGGCCGAGTTTGGTGGCACTGACACTGAACCTCATTCCCTTCCCTCCTGCAGTGGCTCACGTTCTGGCCACATCCACCACCATGATGTTCGGGTGGCGGAACACCATGTGGCCACACTGAGCGGCCACAGCCAGGAGGTGTGTGGGCTGCGCTGGGCCCCAGATGGACGACATTTGGCCAGCGGTGGCAACGATAACTTGGTCAACGTGTGGCCTAGTGCTCCTGGAGAGGGTGGCTGGGTTCCCCTGCAGACATTCACCCAGCATCAAGGGGCTGTCAAGGTGAGAGTAGGGCTGGGTTGGGGCCTCTGCAGACCCTCACCCAGAACCTGGGGACTGTTAAGGGGAGACGGGATGGTAGGATTGGATGGGACGGGATTACCCTGTGACCCCTGTAGCTCCTTGTCTGGCTCTAGTACCTGCTGACCCCACCTTTATCCTACCTAGGCTGTAGCTTGGTGTCCCTGGCAGTCCAATGTCCTGGCAACAGGAGGGGGCACCAGCGACCGACACATTCGAATCTGGAATGTCTGCTCTGGGGCCTGTCTGAGTGCTGTGGATGCTCAATCCCAGGTAGTCTTTTACCTGTTCCAGCCTCTCCCTCCCAGAAGTATTCTTACTCTGTATAGTCTTCCTTGGGCAACTATCCCCTCCAGTGGCTTCACCAACTCTCTGCCCTGATGATTTCCAAAATTCTAACTCAGCTCTCGTTCAAGAGGTCCAGACCACACTAATGTCTGTGGCTCAACTCCAACCTCATGCCCTATAGGCAGCAACACCCTAATATGTCCTAAATTACATTTGTCACTTCTTGTTTCCCTGAAATGTGTTCTTTCTCCTCTTATATTGTTTGAGTGGGATAGAACTTTATTCAGAAATCTGCCAGACTTCCTAGAATCTTTCATCCTCCTCAGCTAGTCCCCAAAACACATCATTTTTACCTCAGTATCATTGACATGTGTCCCCTCCCCTTACGGCCATGCTTCTTCTCAGTGGAGGCCCATTGCCCTGGTCCCTCAGCATTCTTATCTCCTCCAATCTGTCCTCTGCACTGGATCTGGGTTGTCTGTTACTGTCCTAAAACCCTGCAGTAGCTCCCTGGCACCTACAGCACTCAATCCACATTGGGTAGAATGACATTTGAGGCCCTTGCTGGGGGGTCTCCCTGCACCTACTCCAGCTTTCCCTCCTTCCACCCTCATCTCCCCCATGCAGTCTTCATTCTATTCTAAACTTGGGCTCTGGAGCCAGAGTTCAAATTCTGGCTTTGCCACCTATTAAATTTGCATGTGATCTTAGGCAACTTGCTGAAATTCCTTCTGCTTGATTCCTTACCTGTTAAAATGGATAATAATTCTCTCAAAAAGCTTTTATAAGAACTGTGATGATTCAAGTCTGAGTCTGGCACCTGGCAGGGTGCCTAACACTCAAATGGACTTAGTTCTCATTTGAGTAGTGTTGGCTCTATGTTGTGCCCACATCCCAACCCCTCTCCACAGGTGTGCTCCATCCTCTGGTCTCCCCACTACAAGGAGCTCATCTCAGGCCATGGCTTTGCCCAGAACCAGTTGGTTATTTGGAAGTACCCAACCATGGCCAAGGTGGCTGAGCTTAAAGGTAGGTGCTTACCAGGTATTTACCCCAAAGATAGAAATGTAGTGATCCAAAGGGGCACCTGCACCCCAATGTTTATAGCAGCAATGTCCACAATAGCCAACCTATGGAAAGAGCCCAGATGTCCACTGACAAATGAATGGGGTAAAGAAGATGTGGTATATATACAATGGAATACTACTCACCCATCAAAAAAAATGAAACCTTGCCATTTGCAATGACGTGGATGGAACTAGAGAGTATTATGCTAAGTGAAATAAGTCAATCAGAGAAAGACAATTATATGATCTCACTCATGTGGAATTTAAGAAACAAAACAGGATCATAGGGGAAGAGAGGAAGAAATAAAACAAGACGAAACCAGAGAGGGAGACAAACCATAGAGACTCTTAATGACAGGAAACAAACTGGAGGGTTGCTGGAGGGGAGGGAGGTGGGGGGATGGGGTAACTGGGTGATAAGCATTAAGGAGGGCACGTGATGTAATGAGCACTGGGTGTTATATGCAACTGATGAATCTAAACTCTACCTCTGAAACTGAAAAAAAAAGGAAAACCCATGAGGGGAACAGGTTTGAAATGAATGGTGATGAGTTTCCTTTTGAACACGTGAAGTTTGAACTGCCTCTGAGATACTAAGCTGGGACGTCAGTCAAGCAGTCTTACAGAAGACTGATGAGCCACTGACCTCTACCTCTGAAACTAATACACTATATGTTAATTAATTGAATTTAAATTTAAAAAATGGTTCAACATTTAAAAAAGGTAGGTGCTAAGTGATCAAAGCCAGACACAAAAGGCAGGCCACATACTGTATATGACTGTTTACATGAAGTGTCCAAAAGAGGGAAATGCAAAGAGATAAAATAGATTGATGGTTGCTAGGGGCTGGGGGGAGAAGGTGATGAGGAAAGACTTTCTTTATGGAGCGATGAAATGTTCTGGAATTATTGTTGTGATGGTTGCACAACTTTGTGAATATACTAAAAACCAATGAATTGTATATTTTAAAAGGATGAATTCTATTATCTCAGAAGTATTATAAAAAACAAAAAAGGTAGGTGGCCCTCAATATTGGGAGGCTGGAGGTGTCTGCATTCATATGCACTGCTCTCCCTCCTCACGCCTCAGGTCACACTGCCCGGGTCCTAAGTCTGACCATGAGCCCAGATGGGGCCACCGTGGCCTCAGCAGCAGCAGATGAGACCCTGCGGCTATGGCGCTGCTTTGAGCTGGACCCTGCGCGGCGGCGGGAGCGGGAGAAGGCCAGTGCAGCCAAGAGCAGCCTCATCCACCAAGGCATCCGTTAAGGACCAACTCATCACCTCAGTTGTTTTCGGGGTTTTTTTATTTTTCTAATAAAGTCATGTCTCCCTCTCTTCTCCTTGCATGACCTCTGTCCCAGCAGCCTTACCAGAGGCTCCTCTCTACTGTCCTCAGCCAGAACCATCCCTCCTGTTTGCAGACAGGGCTAGCACTTCTTCCATTCACACATGTAACACACAGCCTTGGTGGTTTCCTCTGTCACTTTTAATGAAGACCTAAGTGAGTGAGCAGCCTCCACAGGCTGTATTCCCAGGACCCCACCCACCCACCCTGACCTTTGGCCAAGAAGCTTCTGCTTCAGTGTGGGGTAGAGAAGGAGGGATCATAGGTCCGCAGTGACAGATTATTGCTGACCTCCAGTGTGAGGAAAAAGGCCACAAGACCCTGGTGGGGGCCAGTCCTGAGTGCTCCTCTCCCAAGTTTAAGGCAGGGAGGGGGAAATAAGTGTCCAGCCCTTTCAGCCCCCAGCTCTGGAGTGGCAGAGGGCAATGAGGCCATGTCCTTGGAGCTGGCCAGGAGAAGTGGGTGAGGAACGGAAGCCGTGGTCCCTGTGTACCAGCTGTGGGGAGGGGAGGGCCGATCCCCTGCTCAGTCCTGACCACTTAAGCCCTGGTCACAGGTCACCGGTGTAGGTGGGGAGAAGTCAGATGCTGCCCAAGGCGCAGTCCTGAGGCACTTAGGTGGGCACCTAGCTAGGCCACACTTCTCATTTGGCCTTGACTTTGGCGGTACCTGGAGCTCCATTTTGCTGAAGTACACGGGGCAGCCGCTTGCCTTTGGTGTAAGAGTGATACCAGAAATTGGAGAAAAGCATGAAGAAGATGGTGCCGTACATCCAGATGAGGTGGATGATGAGTGGGTACTGGTAGTTACAGCTAGGCGTGAAGTAGTATTGAGAGATGTGCAGCGAGACCAGGACGAACTGGATCTAGAATAGAAAAAGGCAAGGGTCAGAGGAACAGTGAGAGGCGGTAGAGAAAGACTGCATGTTGAATGCGGAGGCATGGGGTCAAAGGTGATGCAGGTTGAATAAAGGCAGGATCCAGACCAGGAAGGAAGGTTGGGGGGATGGTTATGGGCCAGGCCCCTCACCAGCTGGATGGCTGTCATGTGCTTTTTCCACCACAGGTAGGGCTGAGCCACCGGGCCGAGGGCGGACAGCCCATAGTACAGGTACATGACGACATGCACAGAAGAGTTGATCATGGCGTGGAAAGAGCCCATTCCTCCTGTCAGGGGACAGTGAACCAGGTCAGGAAGAGTCGAGCTGTTGGTCCTCAGTGCCTGCCCCTCTTCCCCCCAGTGGCCTTCACCACTCACCCGGGGCAATTTTTACCCCCCACCACCAGCTCCAGGGAAGCACCGAGTGGTGGAAGACATGTAGGAAGGTCACCTGTCCATCTTTTTTCCGGAGAACGAAGATCACCTGAGAAGAGTGGGGGAAATGGGTTTCAGAGCCAGGGCCTCTCCTTTCTCCCCCTGGGTCCTCAGAAATCTCCTATAACCACTCACCGTGTCCATCAGCTCGATGAACTTGGAGAAGAGGAAGAGCCAGGCCACTCGAACCATCTGCAAGAAGCCAGGCAAACTTAGGACCCCCATTCTACTCCCAAAAACTTCCCTGAACTGGCCCATAAGCCCAGGGCACAGCCAAACTGCTATCCCCAAGGTGCTTATAACCTAGCTGCCCGCCCCCGCCCCCCCACCCCCGCTCCGCCCCCACTTACCCTTAGTGCCTCTGGGCTGTTGGAATAGTCCACAGGATCACAGCGCCAGGTGTAGGTACTCAACCAGCCAGACATCAAGAACTAGGAAGGGGTGTGGATTAGACCACCAGGGATACACCCTGCCCAATCCCTCCTGCTATCTAGCTGAAGAAATGGATCTGAGCCTCTCTGGAAAGGAGATGCCATGCTCTGACCCCAAGGCCTGCCCCTTATCCTGCCAGCAGGATTTAAAACCTAGGTATCCCAGAGGCCCACCTCATAGACAATGTAGAGGGAGAGCGCCACCAGTGAGAAGTTGTAGACAATCATGAAGCCCCGGAGCTGGAAGGGCTTCCGATTGGCCATGATGCGAGGCCCAAGTGAGAGAACGAAGTATATGTAGGTCAGGAGGATGGAGGTCATTAGCAGGGGGGACCCCATCAGAGGGTAGCCCTGGATCCGAGGATCTGTGGATAAGGGTCAAGGAGTCAGAAAGAGTCACAGGGTCCAAAGGGTCCCCACCAGGTGTACAGGCATGGGGTCGGGTCACAGAGGGTCAAGGGGTTCGCAGGGACTCTCCAGTAAGAGACAGCCCTAGATCCAGGGATCCTGGGGCAGGAGGGAGGACAGCATCTTTTTTTTTTTTTTTTTAAAGATTTTATTTATTTATGTGACAGAGAGAGACACAGCAAGAGAGGGAACACAAGCAGTGGGAGTGGGAGAGGGAGAAGCAGGCTTCCCGCTGAGCAGGGAGCCCGATGTGGGACTCGATCCCAGGACCCTGGGACCATGACCTGAGCTGAAGGCAGACGCTTAACGACTGAGCCACCCAGGCGCCCCGGGAGGACAGCATCTTACCTGCATACTTCATCATCTCCTGGTACAAGTTCACAACCGCCTCCATCCTGGCTAAAGATTCTGGGGAGGGATGGGGGGTGGGTGTCAGGGCCAGCTGTGCCCCCATTCCACCCCTGACCCACAGACAGGACACAGACCAGATGAGACAACTCCCGACACCTCCTTGCAGAAAGGACAGAGGAGGGAGGGGAAGGAATTGCCGGGACCGGAGGTAGGAGGCACGGCTTCCCGTGCAGCCTGCCTGCCTGCTGGGAAGAGCTGTGCCGCCCGCCTCTCCACACCTCACTCGACTCGCTCACTCCCTGCTCCGCCACCGAGATTCTTACCACCCGCCCTCACCTCCCCTCTTCCTCCACAGGGGGACTCTCCATTTCCGGTCTCTCTCCGGAGAATCTTACCTCTCCTCTCCAGAATGACTGCCTCTCCCTTCCCCACCAGTCTCCCACCTCTCCAGCGGGAGATGGTCCTTTTTCTCCCCAGGGATCCTCCCCTTCAACCGCTCCGGTCCACCTTCGGGATGCTCGCCCCCACAACCCCCCCACCCCTGCCCCTTTCTCCTCTCCTCTGCCCTCCCGGGCTCTCACCTCCAGAGACTCTCTCCGCTCCCCGCTCCCCTCCTCTCCGGCACTCCCCTCCTTCCCTTCCGCTCCCAATCCTGGCTCTAGGAGACTCCTGCCCCGGCGGCTCCACCTGTCCGACTAGATCTGGAAGCGCCCCGCCCTCCACCCACCCCCGCTGCACTGCGGCATGGGGTGGAGGGTGGGTCCAGGCCACAGGTCAGGGCCTGGAGGAGCAAGACCCACCAGGATTGAGAAAGCCAAGAGTAAAGTATGGGACTCACCGCCCGCCCACCCTGGATAGCCTGATGAGCTAAGGCTCTAGCTTAGTTTTGAGCCAGAAACCTCACAGGGCTCCAGCCCAGGCCTAGCCTTGGCCCAAAGAGAATTGTTGAAAACCCACACCCAGCATCCTCTCCTAAGCTAGCCACAAATTCTCAGTTTGTCCTGCTTCAGAATGGGTACAATCACCCTTCTCTCCCTGGGAGGGGCAGCGAGGCCAGGGGCATGTGAGGAGGTGGGTGAGTGGGGGAGGTCTCAGGAATCTTCCCCTCCCTTAGGGAGGGTCCTAATGAGCCAGGCCCTCTCCCCCTCAGAACCTGAAGGAATGTCGGGGGAGGGCGCACTGGGACACAAAAGCCTCAGCCCAGACCCAGGAGAGCCTGGGATGCCAAGGCTGTCCCAGAGAGGCAAGGCATTCCCCAACCGGCCAGGGGAGCAGATGCTCTGCGAGCTGCCTGCATTCTAGTCTGCCAGGTCCCCTCTGTCCAGGGAACAAGCCGTGCAGGCACTAAGTGAAGAATATCCACCTTCTGACATCTCCACGAGGCCATCCGCGTGCCCCTCACACACTCTGCTGGGCACACATCCCACAGATGCTCTCACAGCCTCCATGGGGACCCCCAACTGCCCCCACCATGGTCAGGCCCCAAGTCCTCCCTCTCGCACAGCTCTCCCCGGCACCAATGACAGGCCGACCCAGGGCTGGCAAACCTATGTACACGCAGGGCCCACACACCTCCTGCTGGCATTCACCACCCCCTCTGACACACCACCCAAACAGCCTCCATGGACTCTGACATGCAGAGTTTCTGATACTCAGACCCACTCCTAACTCCATTCACACTGGCAACACACCCAAAACACTCACACGGCCTTCCCTGGTCCTGCACTACCACGTTCAAATGCTCATGCTCACACCCCCAGGCCCACACGCAGCTTTACTCACACGTATGTGAGTCACAAATGTGGTCACAGACATAAACTCAGACACCCCACTTAGAGATGAATGAACATAAAGTCACCCTCACCACATGCAGACACACCTGCCTTCGGTCTTGCACACAGATCTCTTTCATGGACGACAATCAGCATTCATTCATTCACAATCAGAGCTCGTTGGCTGCCTCTTCTGTGGCGGGGCCTACTGGCAGAGGCCTGTGCTCACACACAGTTCCTCCCTGACCCATGTGAGCCTGCCAGCTGGTTATCTCTCCCGCTCTCGCAACCACCACTTCAAGTTCACCCCCCGCCCCCAACAAACACTCATGCCCCCTGGAGGTCAGGAGTGGCTCGAGGCTCTGGAAAGGACCTCTCCCCCTGCTTGAGGAGCACTGGGTGTGTCCCTGGTAGGGGAACTCAGGCGGGTGCTTCCTTCCTTTAAGATGGATGGAAGGGAAAAGAAGACAGGCAAAGGAGGGGGGAGGGGAAGGGAAAAGAGAAGAACTGGGAGCAAAGGAGAGGGAGAGGAAGAGCCTAGAGGGACAAGACCGGGAGGTGGTGGAAGAAAGCCTAGGTTTAAGCAAATAGGGGCCGGGATCGGAGGGAGGCTGCCGGCCAGGCCCGGCCCCAGAGAGCTGGGACCTCCCACCCACGGTCCCGGGAACAGCCTCGCCCACAGGCTGGGCAGGGCAGGGCAGGGCAGGGCCAAGCGGGCAGGGTGCCCGGGCACGTGGACAGCCCGCCCGTGGAAGGTCCAGACTCACCAGTGGGGGGCCAGGCGGGCAGCAGTGAAGGGCTCAGAGGGAGCAGGGCCAGAGAGAAGTCCCCAGGGCCAGCCTGCCTGCCACTTCCTCATCTGCTGGGCCGACTTTCTGTCACCAGAGGGGGACGGGGCGGGCCGGGCGGGGGGCGCCTGCTGATTGGCCCCGACTCGGCTCGGTCCGAGGGGCGGGCGCAGGGGCGGGCCGCCAGATTCCGGGGCAGGAAGCACGCCCAGCCAGGATTCCCCACCCCTTCCCTCGGCAACGCGCCGCCGGCTCCGTCGGGTCGCCCTGGGCTGGCCCTGGCTCGCCGGAGGTGCACCTGGCTTCTTCCTGACACTCAGCCTCATTCTGGGACCTCCAGTGACTGTCCACCAACGCGACCAACACATCTTCTGTCCGTCGCAGGCCTACCCAGCTTGGGACCCTGCGGAAAGTTCCAGGCCTCAGCAGCCCTTTCCTCCAGAGCTCTCTCTCCAGGGGGTGGTGGGAGGGTTGGGCGGGAGGCAGCACGTGTGTGCTAAGGGCTAACCAGGGGTAGCAGAGAGGTCTCGGCCGGAGGGAGCAGCTGGGCAAGGAAGCCTTCTCGAACAGCCCATAAACTTGGCTGAGCCCTAGCATTAGGAACTGCTAAGAGGACTTCACAGTGGGAGAATACAAGTGGCCTGGGGCAGGAACAGAGAATCACTGGCTAAACTGGCCTTGAAGGTATTGAAAGGAAAAGAAAGGGAAGTGAGGCCAACTGTGGCTGAATCTAATAGGACGTGAAGGCCAACCTGGGCAGTTTGGTTTTATTCTGGAAGCAGCAGAGAAAGAGTGAAGATTCCCGAGGCTACAGTCAGGCTTGTATGATCACATACTTACTGAGCTCCTGCCATGTGCAATAGTGTGGTAAGTGCTAGTGACAACAGGGGTGAAGGAGGCAGATGCTGCTGTCCCGGCCCGGGGTTTACGGGCTGGCAGAGTCACGTCACTCTGGCAGCCAGGGCAATGAGCTTATTGAGGCAGACCAGGTGAGAGCTAACAGCCTGACCTAAGAAGCTTTGGAAACTGATGGGATGTGAGTGACAGACACTGGAGATGTCCCCAAGACAGGTGAACTGACTCTCTATACTTAGCTGTCTATCCAGCTTCCTGCACTCCCCTCCCAGCTCCACACACTCACCCACTAGACTGAACTGGGGTGAGGACTAAGTTTGAGCGGCTCCTGGAGCGGTGCTTTGCATCTCGTGACCCAATAACTGCTTGTCGGATCGGACGGTGTAAATGTGGACAGAAGGGAATTCAGAAGAGACCATGGTTTGGGAGAAATAATATGCTCATAAATGGTGGGATGCCGTGTAGTTTAGTCTTAGAGGTAAGAGGTCAGAGCCAAACTAGATCTATGATCCAGCCTGTGAGCAGCTACCCTTGAAAGGAAAGAGAATTCAAAAGGCTCCAATTTCTTAGCGTTATAACATTAAGGCCTCCCTGATCTGGCCCTCAGCCTCCCATTCTACCTGTGTTACTCTCCTGTGCTAGGCTTTAACTGCTCCCCAAGGATGTCTGCGTCTTTCACACACTCCCACCCCTCCAAGCCTTGTCCCCTGGCTCAATACAAGGAACACACAGCTCTCCCAGGTAGTAATCCCCTCCTCCGCGCACTGCTCCCCCAATCCTACAGCAGTCCTATAGCGACGCAATTGTCTGCAACCTCCCCCACTCGAAGTTCCTCTCAGCCAGAGGCACGTGGTAGTCGGCTCCGTATCTCTTGCAGCTGGGCCCACTGGCTGGCTCATTTGATCCTTCAGTATGTTTGTGGAGTGAATATTAGAATAAATGAGACTGTGAGAAAGGCAAGAGAGGTCGAAGGACCCAGAGTCAGGCGGGGAGGACGGTGGGATTCAGAAGGCTTTCTACTTCCCTGGGGGTGGCAGTCTCCCTTGAGTCAGTAGATATTTGTTGAAAGCCTAATGTGTTCCAGGTATACTTTGGTGGCTTTGGGGTCACCCCTGACTCCGCAGGCCTGAGTTTAAATCTTCCAGTGAGTACCTGCGTGACCTTCGGCAAACTGCCGAACCTCTATACAATGGCAACTGCAGTGCCTCCCCCATCCTCGCGAAGCGTGAAGGAGCTGGGCCACGTGCAGCGCTTAGCCCTGCTTCTGGGCTCAACATTTCAGACAGGGTGCAGAGCAACCCATACGTCAAGAACATACCACTGCCGAAAACCAATATGTCAGTCTTGTGTGTGGACTCATGAGCACTGGTTCGACAGATGCTTCCTCAGCGCTTACTGTGTGCACACGCTGCTCGGAGAGCTCTACTGAGAGGTTGTGCATTCGGTGTCCGCCTAGGGACAAATGAGACACGAACAAAGCAGACGACCGGAGAGGATGTGCAGTCACCGAGGTGAAAGGTAGGAGAGGCAGGGAACTTCAGCTACCCATTTATTCACCTGGGCCCCAGTGGTAAATGAGCACAGCATGCCGTCAGTCAACGCTGACGGACTACATGAGTGAACATGCACCAAGACTCACTTCGCTCAGTTCCTGTCCTAGTCCTGGGCAGAAGCATCTCTGATAAGAGATCACCTGGCCCCACATCCTACCAAATGGCGTCTCCACGGCCCTGGGTTTCCTGCAAAACACTCCAAATCTAGAGGAGGAAACCAATCATAGTTAGCATGCGGCGAGTGTTCCCACAGAGATAATGGCTTATGAAAGCACTGAGGAGGGGCACCCTACCCCAGGGTGGGGGTGAGTTCTTGAAGGCTTCACAGAAAGGACACTAAGCTGAATGTTGAAGGACACTTTCTAGAAAGCAGGGAAACGCATTCCAGGCAGAGGGAAGCATGGGTGTGAAGGCACAGAAGCAAGAGATGTGGCGGGTTTGGGGAGCTCTAGGTAGTTCAGTGTGGCTCCAGCTCAGAGGGCAGAGAGGTCAGGGCGGGAAACACAGGCAGGAATCAGTTTATACAGAGCCCTGAATGCCATGGTAAGTGTGGATTTTGTTGTGTTTATGTTTTTCAGCCCTGGCTGCACACAATCACCTGGGGAGCTTTTAAAATATCAATGTCTGGCTCTTACCTTCAGATTGATTCTAATGGCTGTTTTTGACGGGAAGAGGCTTGAGCATGTTTATGTGCGGTGTGGAAGGAGACAATGGGATCCAGCATACACACGGAGGGATTAGCCTTTGGCTAAGGAGAACACCTCACAGACTGACATGTACGGAAAAGAAGGGTAAATTTGTCAGGGGACTGGGAGAGGAGGTCATTTGGGGCCTGCAGAGAAGCCAGGTGGAAGGGGCAGGCTGATAAACTGGAGAAACTGAAGGGGTCCAGGAAGGGATCCAGGAACTCACAGGCTCGATAAGTATGAAAGCCAGGTGTTGGGGAGGGGGGTGCAGGGGAAGAAGCCCCAGTCCAACAGCTAAAATTCCACCTCCTTCATGGAACCTTCCTGACTAACTGGAAGTGAGGTGACTCCCCCCGGGGTCCCACCCTGTCTGACTCACTGCTCACTCACTGCTCTCTTAGGGGCCCTTCTCCATGCTCATTCCCCAGAAGATAAACCACTGATTATTTTCTGCAAGGGTTCAGTCTGAAAACCACCATCCATGTGAACGCAAACAACTCCGTTCCCATGATTATCTGAGGCTTTACATGTTTCAGCAGAAATATTAAAAGGAACTGGGATCAAAGAAGCAGGAATAGCAATGAGAAACAAATGGAAAAAGGCATGCCTGTGTGTGTACGAGCAGGTGGGCAAACAGGTGGAGCAGTGGAGGGGACAGAGCATGGGAGATGTGGGGAGTCGGCTAAAAATGATAGGAACTGAGGGTCTAGGCTAACGGACACCAGGAGTGGCACGTAGAGATGAAAGCAGTCTCTTGGGGGCTGTGTCAGGCTTCTCCCCTCCCCATCCTGTAAAGGACAAAGGGCACTTTCTACACAGTCGCCACACAGAGGAGTTGGGGGGGAGGGCTGAGTCTGTGAGGACAGGGGAGTGAAGAGAGGGTGAAGGGGTTGTCAGTTAATCATTCTGCATATCCTTGGGCCTTCGCCCACTAGCTAGTGTCCTCCACCTAAGGCTGAGACCTCTGCTGAAGGAACCAGAGCTGGAAAAACATCCAGCTGGCAGAAGGGGGAGACTGTGCGTGAATACTCGTCACATCTGTCCATTGGCAGCCAATGCCTACACACTGTGGGTAGCATGCAGTGCTCACTGAACAGAACTAAAGAAACTCAGGTATGGGAAGAGGGCTGTGATAGAACCTGCAGAAAAGGCTGTGGAGAGGGAAAAGGGGAGACTTTTGCTTAGGGGACAAACCAGGGGAGGTTATCAAGATGAGGGAAAGACAGTTAGCCAGATCTGGAAGATGTGTTGAGAGGGGCCAAAAGGGGAAAAGAGAAAGTGTAGCTTATTATTCACTACTTTCTCTGGCAAGAATGGGGCCCTAAGAGCTGCTTTCCATACGTTCTTATGGTTCAGTCCTATAACTACTGTTATCGCCGCTTCATGGATGGAAAGAATTGAATCAGAAAGGGTGATGGATTTTTCTCAAGGTCACATGGCAAGTAAGGCAGAAGCAACACTGGTGTTCCAGGCCAAGGAAAAAGTGTGGACAAAGGGATGGAAGGAGGAAAGCACAGCACAGATACAGGGAATTGCTACACCTGATTGTGCTTGGCCAAACCATACGCTGAATAAGAGGCCTTTATATGCCAGAAGATGAAAAAGTTGGTTGGTCCCAAGTGAAAGAATGAGGAGTTTTGTTTGTACTGGGGCATCCCTAAGAATTTTAAGAAAGGGGTTATGATCCCCATTGTTCTTTAGAAAGACAAACCTGGGGACAATATATCACTAGGAGGAAAGGAGAGGAAGGGGAGCCAGCTGAGACCAGCTACAATGCACAGGTATGATGTACACACCACACACACACACACACACACAGAGCTGTGACACACAGAAGGCCTGAGAGCATAGAGCAGACAGAGGACACAGAATTGACAGGAAGGTGGTCATGCTGGATAACTCAGGTGGAGCAGAGTGGAGGAAATGAATGCATTTGGGGACATATGGAGTGTGAAGTAAGATGACACATTCCATAGGTAATCTTTTTTTTTTTTTTCTTTTTACAGAGAGA